AAAGAGTGTGCTGCCAGGGTGTTTTCTAAAGACCCCCACACTTTACTCTTCATGAAGGAACTGTTGCTGTACGTACCGAGCTGATCTCTTTCCATTGTGAATGAACGGCTTCGTCTGCAGGGAAAAGGATTCCCAAACCAGAGCGGAGTTTCCTCAGCTGTGGTGCGGTCTCAAGCTGTTGGAAGTGGTATCTCACCTCCTCTCTCCTTCAGCCAGTGAAAGAAAGATTTCTGCTCAGCGCTGCGTGCTAAAAATGCTTTGGAATCTCCTGCTGGAACCCACTGATTCTGAACGTTAAGTAGCTCGAGTTATTTCGGCCTTTCTAGTAGAAAGGAGAAGTGAGAAGACTTGGAAAAATCTCAGAAGGCTTTTTAGCAGAGAGAGGTTATTTTCAGTTGTCTCCCTCCTTCCTGGTAAATACCTCTGGGGCCCAAACTTTAAAATTTAGTACAGAAACTGTTTTCACTTAAGGAAGCCTGCAGGGACCCTCCCAAAGAGAAACTGCTGCTGTTTTCCTCCATCTTCCGGGCACCTGCTGCAAAGCTAAACAGAGATAACAGGAATAATAAGGAAGAGAAGTGCTTTACAGGTATCCCGCTGTGAAAGGTCAGTGGAAATTCCCTCTTCCTGAACGAAGCTGTTTGCTTGCTCTATTTGCTTGAAGTTAAATGTTTAAATAGCAACTTTATATCGGGGCGTGTGCTCCTCGAGATATGAGATCCAGCCTCTGCATACCTATAAGGAAGTGATTTTCCTTGTGCTCCTAAAAGCAGGTCAGTTTTATTTGATGCCATTGGGAACAAATAACCTTTACTGAGAAATTAAAGAATACGACGTTATTGGAAGTGGGAGATGCCACGGCACTTACACAATCACATTATCTGCATAAAAAGTAGAATCTTTCGATGGCTGGGTATTGGGAAGTATTTTTGGTTCAAGCACCACCTTGTTAGGTAAATATTTTTATGTTTTCACCTCCAACATAGAGGCTGTTACTTTTATTCTATTTTATAGACTGCTCTCATAGGCGTTTTCACAGCTGTTTGGCATTTTTCGTCCCCTCCGATGCTCTGTTTATTACTGGAAGCGTGATTATGGCTTGATACCTTATATTTGCAGGTTGACAACTGTGATTAAAGCTGTGTGACAGCTAAGCCTTTGGCTCTTGTTTGAGCCCAAACCACTTGACTTGTGCCCCCAGCACACGTGGGTACTCGTTGCCTTCATTTGAAGCACACCAGTGGGGGTCTGCTGGAGAATTCAGGCACATCCATCATCTGCTCGGACTGGCAATATCAACAAGTGGCTCAGGTGGGAGCTGGAACCTGAACACAACCAGCAAGTATGAGATGATGAACGTGGCCTCTGACAAGCAAGGAGACCTGTGTGTCTCCAAGAGTTGCCCTCAGGACCTTGCGAGCAGGTCTGTGGAGCAACATCTTCAGTAAAGTTTCTGGTTTGCATGGTTTTTTTTTTCTTTTTTCTTTCCTTTTTCCCCTCCCCTACCACCAGAGAGATGTCGTGGGCTGGAACACTAGAGAGGATGAACATGGCAGTGGATCCATTTAGGGGGCTCTGAAATCTCACGCCAAAATATTTGCATTAAAACACCCTGTCTGCCACGGTGTCAGCCCGGCCCCTACGCATCCAGGGTATTTATGAACCAACAGAAAACACAGGAAGAGCCGAGTGGTGCACTGAAATGTTGTTTCTGAAGAACAAAACTTTATTATTTTTTCTGAAAAAAACTGCATACACATGTTCAGATTTGTTCAACCTTCAAAACATGTCTTTGTTTCCGAACAAACAGTGTTCTTTTAAGCATGCAGGACCCTGCTGCAGCTTGATAAAGAAGTGAAGAGGGTTTTTTTTTAATCCTATAGCTGTGCAAACATAATTTGAAAGCTATTTGCATTTTGCACCTTTCACTTCTAGTAACATAGCATCAGCTGTTAGATACATGCACTGTACAGCTTTGAGTTATGATTTGGCATTAACATTTGATTTAGGTGTAGAGTGAAAGCCAAACAAACCTCCCTTTGTCCAATAAACTCCCCCCAGGCGATTATAATAAATCTAATTCCTTCTTTATAATGGAGATATCTTTAAGTACTCAGGCTTCCCTGCAGTTATTAAAATATTCCTTTCACTCTATTTTCTAGATCATCTTCCTCTGGTGCAGACGTGCACTTTGCTTGCCTTGGTGAATGGGAGCAGAAAGAAAAGATCTCTCAGTTTTCTATCAAAGAAGGCCGGAGTGCACTGAAACAGAGCCAGTTCTCTTTCTTTCTGTCATTTTCAGTAAACTGCAAGATTATTTATAGTATGAGGTTTTTTTTTACTGCCTTAGACCATCTAAAATCAGATGCAGCAACTTGGCTGCAAAAAGTTGGATTCGCCTTCCTACTGTTGCTTTCTCTTCTTGCTGCCTCTCCCATCCATTAAAACCCAGAAAGTGATAACCAGCCAGGCATTAGTACTTGAACCATGCTGTGTTTTAGACTCTTCTCCTTATATTCTCTAACTTGAGGGAAAGAAGGCAAAGTACATTTTACTGCTGCCCTTGGTTAGCAGCATTTCTTTGTGTATAATGAGCATATTCCTTCTCCTCCTTGCAGCCACCATAAACAGTCTTTGCTGCTCCCTGCATGCCGGTGTGATTAAGTTAGGGTGCTGAAAGTTGAATATTAGGTCAATGCGGTGTGCCGGGTGATGCGTTTCATTATCACAGAGCAAAAGCTGGCCCGTGTTTCGTTTAACGGGGACTGTGCAGCCAGTGGCCAGGGCGTTATCTGGGTGTTCAGCTCTGGTGATGAAGCAAGCCGTGTTTTGTACAGGAAAGCTTATTTTCGTAACTGCAGGCCCGCTTCAGAATCAATACACTAAACTGAAGGGGACGTTGCATTTCACACGGTGGAAGAGCTGCCAATCGCTTCTCAGGCGAGTTCAGTTCATGATGGAAACTGTGCTTTCGGGCTGGCCTCCAAAGATCTGGGAGAAGAACTCAAAGGCCAGGCGGACGTGGATGGGGACGAAGACGTAAGCCGCATAGACCACCATAGCGAAAACAGTCACGGTGATGGTGTGGAACACGGATTGCTCCCAGGGCTCCAGCGTGTAGCTGCAGGTGATGAGCAGGTACTGGTAGTACAGCCAGTAGATAGAATCCTTCACGCGCTTCACATCCATCTTCAGCCTTCAGTGGGTTTGAGAGGATGACCTGGAACGACAGAGAAGTCTTGGATTTCAGCTGCAGTGGAAAGAAAGACCTGGAGCTAAACAAAATGAGGTGGTGTCCGTCAAGTTTGATACCACATATCATTGTTACATAAAATAAAGTTCAAACAGAAATAACACATCGGTGCCATCACCAGGTTCTGCTGCCCCAGAGCAGAGGAAAACAATCTTTAACTCTAGCAACTGCTGCTTGCAGTTATTAAAGCTCTATCAGCCGGGCACTCACCATTCGTCTGAGTACAAGGGTGCTTTGCTACTCGTTCTGCAGGAGGAATTAAAACCACATCAGCTTACAAAGGCACAGGGTTCTTGTGGAAGTTGGGGAGATAGGCACTGAAAAGGGAAGGCTTTGGGCCAGCTTCTGTAAAGACTCATACGCTTTGGAATAAAGGTGAGATTAAAAGAACTGCTCTGTAAAAGCTCCTCTGCTTACTTCTGATAACAATTTTTATTATTCTGTGATTGGCTGGCGTAAAGAAAAGACAAGCTATGAAAGGGAGAGAAAAAAGTAATCTCAAATAGCATAAGAAGTTTTGTTTGAGTATTTAATGGAAGTTACAAGTCTAGGAAAGCTCTTCCTCTCAGGTAATACCTTTAGGCATTCATTGTTCCTGTCTCCACACTGAAAGGAGAGTGGCTGAGAAAGTATTAACTAGGAGATAGGTTTTTGCCTTCCACTGCTGTTTTTTAAAACTGCTTTCCAGGATTTTAAATAATCTTTAAATTCAGGCTGAAAACACCTACTTAGAAAAAATACAGAGACAGAATGATAAGCAACTGCATGAGGCATCAGAGAGGGACTCCTTTATTTTGTTGGGGGTTGAGTTTCAGGACACACATGCGGACCAGGTCAGCTCACAGTGTAAGGGAAACCAGTAGCTTTTAGTTCTGCTGGAAGACTCCCAGTTTATCATTTTGTTCTATGTTTCTGCTGCCTAAAACACCAGGAACAGAAACGCTCGGACACGTCACGTCCCTCCAGCCTTTTGTGTTTATAGTGAGTTTGGTGCAACAGAAATTTTCTGTCCCTCATAAGAACCAGCACTAAGGGAGCACTGGAAAATTTGTAGCCTGGAATTAAAATAACCATGGGCCACTGGTATAGGTCAAATATATCGCAGTATTCCGTGGTTTACTGCCTCTGCAGGCTGTACAGTGTATTCTGGTGGTATGTGTGTATTTACCAAGACAATTTCCCAACGAAAAGGATCCCTGTTTTTTTGTTTTGTTGTTTTTTTTTTTTTAACACCTTTAGTTCAGTTACAGATGTGTACCATTCGTGTCTGGTGGATGCGCTGAAGCGTGCACACCCTCACAGATCACATTTCTCCATCTTTCTTCCTTTAGGTCACTGGTGCTGCCACTTCAACAATTCCACATCACATTGCAAACGGAGCATCCTGCCAGACTAGCTCACACCTCACCGTCCGGAGATGCTGTAAAGGTAGACTTTTTGCCCCTTCTTCTTTGGGAAAGCAACAACTGCGGGCTCACCCTGAGCGTGGCAGGCTGCCTGGCTGACCGGGCACTCCAATCGTCCATCCCATGCTGTTGATAAAGGAGCTGACGGCCTTGGCTCCCCCTCCTTCATCCAAGTGCTGGCTCTTCTCCTGGTGTTTCTCCTCCCAGGCCTGGCTTCCCATCCAGACCTCCTCACCTCTGTTCCCCTGTCACTCCTCAGCTCTCAGCACCCCCATGAACACAGCCTCTTTGCTGGCAATGAGCGCAGTGAAACTGTAAACACTGTGCATTAAAAAGGAGACTTGCAGATTTTTACGCAGAAAAATTTCTGTACATGCCCCATCACCCATCCAGCCTTCACTTCTTCTGTGTCCTCCAACCATCAGTCCTTCCCCGCTGTATCTTCTTTCCCCTCCTTCTCCCAAAGCAGTGTTTCCTTCACTTTCCTCTTCCCTACATCTCCTAGACCAAGAGGCTGCCCACAATTTTTTTGAGGGAGCAGATCACTTCCATTTTAAATCTAGCAGTGACTGTCTTTGCTGTCAACAGCTTTGCTTGCAAGGGTACAGGCTGGGGGGAAAGGTCACTACTGGTTTCTGTCCTGGTATGAATGGGTGATAGATTCCTTTCAGATAATTTAAGGCAGAACTCAAGAGAGGCTTTAAAGCTCTGTAAATATTGCAAAGCCTGCAATAAAAACGTCACAGCTGGCAAACTGTGTCTTATTGGAAGCCAAAAGCATCTCTATTTATAACTTCTGCAAAAAAACCCAAACCAACACAACAGCATTTTTCAACGAAGAGGTTAAGCCCTTTCCTATATAATTGAAAGGAAAATGATAAGGGCCCACTCAGACTATCTAGGATTATGGTGTTTACACTGGGGTTATACCCATGCTAGTTAAGCTCATACCCTTCTTAGGTAAATATCTGTTAAGCCTGACAGCTGCACAGAGAAACTGCAAGGTTGGAGTTGCAGTGCCTGCTGTGGGTGTTTAAGGCTATGAGGTTATCAGCAGGATGCTGCAGGAGTTTTGAGGAGACTGATCCCAGGCTAATGGAAGTTTCTGCCCACAGCAGCACATGCACTTGTATATCTCAATACAGAGCTGGGGTAGGGAACAGCCACAGACAGGAAAACACATTCCCCAGGCTGACGTTACCGATATTAGACCAGTCTACCAGGCTGCAGACTCGCTGCTATCACTTACTAGACTTCGCTGTTTTGGAGGGATGCATGAATAAAGCATGACATAAATAAAAACAAGGAGACCTTTTGATTTAGACCAAAGACCTTGTTACACTTGCTCCAGCCTGGGGATTGCATTTCCATTCTGCTTGGTCACCAAGTCCTAGCAGCCACCCTTTACCGCTTCGGTTCTTCCCATCCTCGGCACGGGGGGATAACCCCATCCCTGGGCACTCAGACCCATCAGTAATGGGACTCCCTGGACTACCAGCAGGAACATGAGCTGTCTTAACGTAGAGGATTCGCAGTGTCCAAATGAATGATAGAGGCTGAGATAAGTAAAAGGCAGTCCAATTATGCTCTTTGTCTTCACCGCTAACACACTTCCACTGCATTTAATCTACGCAGAGGCTTTCTCTGTTAACAGGACTCTCTTGGAAATGCAGCAAGCATGAGGAGCATCTTGGGATCATGCAGCTCTAGATGCATAATTTATAAAAGGAAAACATAGGAGGGAAGTAAAAAAAAAAACAAAAAAAACCCAAAACAAAACCCAAACCAACGAACAAACCATCTTAAATGAGCTGCTTAGTCAATGAGATACAAGAATCCACTGTATTACTGTGACACAGATACCCCAATTGCATTAATTCAAGGCCAGTTGTAAGCATAAGCAATAATGCAAAGCTCCGGGGTCTGGGGCAGCCCAACAACCAGCCTAATTACCTCGGAGCAATGATCAAAGGGAATGGCAGATCACTAGATAAACAGAAACTCTTGAGGCTAAAAATTCTGTATTTTAAGCAGAACTTGTCCTAGAGAGGCTTCCACTTATATTTTTAAGCATTACTGGGGTTTATTACATTAATGTCCCAATCAGCTGATGGTCTGAGTTGAAAGGGCCCTGTGTTATTAGCTCATCAGTTCCCAATATTCCAGAACAGGACATAATTTGCTATTACACAATTTAAACCTAGAACTCAATTTGTCTACCAATTTGAATTCAAATATTCAGTTGTGTTCTGGAAATGCCTTCCTGTTTAGAGGCTGTGGGACTGTTACAAACAGCTGTGAGTGTCATGAATAGAATTTGACTTCTGAAGCCATTAAGCAATATTCAAATTATTTTCAGAAAAAAAAACCCCAACACAGAACAAAACAAACCACACACAACAAAAAAAAAACACAACAAAAAACCAAGCAGAGAAACCTGCAAAGCAGCCTTTATCACTATAAGTGGCAACTTGATTTTCTTGCTTGTTGACACATGTCTCTGATTAGGGCAGCTAAAAAGATAAATCATTATAAAAAAATATAAAGTCCTAGGTTTCATTTAAAAGCATGCCTAATCTCAAAAATTTCTGTCACCTTAGTTCCCAGTGGCAGAGCTAGTGGTTGGAGTTGTAACCTGAAAAATGCAAGTGTTAGGTACTTAATCATGTCTGCACAGCACACGGCAAAACGCACCTGCTGGGAAATTCCTGGGGAAATAAACATTCTTGCAGGGGAACGGGGATAGACTAGTTTCCAAAGGTATGCGTTTTACACCCTCAGCAGGAGGCTTTGGGTGACTTACACCGAGGCAAGGGATTTCCAACAGGATTTCAGGTCTAGATAAATTTATCTACAGCAGAGAAAACCAAACCCTGGAGCTGGAGCTGGTCCCATGATCATTAAACAGGTGGTCTCTGATGCTTTGAATACAAAGTAGGGCCAAGTGCTATAAAACAAGGTAGGAAAGAAAACCAAGCAACCAATCAATCCATCCCCCACATGCATTTGTTTAATTAGCCTAAGGGACTAATTAATTAGTCCCTAAGGGACTGCACTCCTGCAGAAGCTAAAGCAAAATTCCACCACAAGCTCCTGAGGCTTGTATTTGGTCTCGTATGCAAGACGCACAACCTGCAGGCTCCAAATGACAGCTGTGACAAGGCAAAGTGCAATAATAATTTTAAAGTTGTCCAATATGTAAATAATGTCAGCTATGAGAAGAGGAATGGGTAGTCATCCTCCTTGGGTAATATATATCCTCCTGCAAAATATTTATCATCCCGCAAGTTCTTCTTCCGCAATTCACCTTACTTCTTTGCAATTTTATTGTGTTAAGTGGGCTTGCTCTGCTGTTACTCAGACAGAACATCCCAATTCATCCAAGGCACTCGTCTGCCTTAATGGTAAGAGAACTCTGGGATGAACCCATTGATTACAGACCAGTAAGTGCCAATAGAACGACAAAGGGATTCACTTCCCAGCCCATCATGCATTTGCTTTCATCTATTTTATTTAGTGAGCTCCAAGCG